GGGCCCCCCCCGGTCCCCTCTTCCTTCATTGCCTGCAGCCATCTCCCCCCACCTTCCCACGCACCCAAAAAGCCAATGGCAGAGAGAGGAAACGGGGCCCGAGAGCACCTCCATGGCCCCCCGCGCAATGGGGCTCCTCTCCCGCCTCCCCCAGTGGGAGTGGGGGTGGGAGGGGGGGAAGGAGAGTGGGGCAAGGAGGCACCAGGCAGCCTCAGACGTCACGAGTTGCCTTCTCTCCTCTTTGTGGGTGGCTGGTTTTGTAAAGGCGGTGGGGGGGGATGGGCTGGATTGGCCACACACCTTCTCTCCCCCCCCAACTGCCATGACAGGTATATGTGTAAACCTGTAAACAACAGAAAACCAACAGCCTGTGTTTGTAGTCTTTTTTTTAAAAAAACTTATGCGGGGAGATGACCTACAACACCTATCAGCCTCAGCTGAGCGAGCGCATGGCGAGGGACAATGGGAGGTGGGAGTCCTGCGTGCCTCCGAGGTTCACAGACCGTCCCCCTTCTGGGCGGAGAGCCCTCGGGTGCTCTTAAGCCTCTTCCAGTTTTATTGCAGCAGTCAGGAGAGTCACACCCCGGGAGGATAAAATAAAGGCCATCATTTCAGACCGCCACCCACCCACTTGGGGGCCTCCATTGGTTTTCAAGATGGGGTTCCCCACTGCCACGCTGGGGACTTCACGTCTTCCAGAAGCTCCAAGGGGTCCCCCCCCCCGGGCATCTGCTTCCATCTCTCCAAAGAAGGGACAGGCGGTCCCTGTCGGAGGGGCGCTCTTCCGCGGCTCAGCCGGGCAGTTTGCTCTGCCAGAAGTTGGTCTAAATCGGATCCCAGCCAATGCAGGGAGGGAGGGAGGGGCGGGCTTTGGGTTCCAAACCTCTACCCCGGTCCCGTTTTGGAGACTGAATCTTGGCCCTGCACAAAGTTTTGGGGTCTCCCTCTTCCCGGGGCGCGGGCCAGCCATCGCCAAGGGTCAGGGAGGTGAAATCGAAACAGCTGGAGAGACAAGAGGCCAGCTGCCTTTCCAGATGTGCAAAGGCACCTGCTCTGCTCCAAGCTAACTGCAGATCCAGGCGGCTTCTGTCCTTTGCAAGGTGGGCTTCCAGGCTGCCTCGTGCTCCCCCCACGCCCTCTTCGGGAGAAGCACTTAGGTCTTGTGCTGTGGTGCAGAAAGTTGCCTCTCTGGACAGCCACACACGGGTCCTGGAGCCTGCGGGGGTCATGAGCGCAAGACACGGCTGGTGAGCTCTCATGCCAAAGCTGAGCACCACCTCCCTCAGTCTTGCCTAGGCTACAGATTCAGACCCCACGGGGACATCCCCCCCCCGGCCGTGGCTATCCCCTGTGTATGTCTGCAATCCCCCTGAAACTCTAGAATTCAGTCCCCTCTCTTGGCTTTCTAGGATAGCTGGGTCCTCATCAGCTCCAGAAATGCAACTTGGCTGTGTGCACTCCCGTTTGGTGCAAGCCTTCAAGGTGAGCCAGAATCCCTGCTGGCTTTTGGGCTGAATCTCAGCCAGATAGTTTAGGCTGGGACTTTGCCGCCCCTGATGGCATTTTGATGTTCCAGCTTTATCTCAACCCCCTTCAAGCCCTCCTCCATCTCTTCTCTTCTAACACTGACCCGGATGATGGGGTGGAACAAGGCTCTTTTAAGTAGCTGCTGCAAAGCTGGGGGTGGGGGTGTTAAGAGATGGGCACAAACCGGTTTGTCCTGGGAGCAGCTCTCCGTCCCTGCCTCCTCAGCGGATCAGCCCCTCACCAGGACCAGCTTGCTGGCCTTTCCCCCACCTCCTCAGCTACTCTCCCAGTCCCAAGCAATAGCACAGCCTTCTCTGCCCCCCCCCTCTTTTTCCCTTGAGTGGCAGATCAGCCCAGAGGGCGGAGCAGAGAAGCCTGTGCTATTGCTTGGGACTGGCAGATCAGTGGGAGGGAGGGGCAGGGAGCTGGCACCCACCAGACCTGGAGAGGGGCTGGTTGGAGCAGCAGCCCCCGTGCTCCTTTCTTGTAGGGGGTGGCTTGGAAGCATGGGGTATGGAGGCCAAAGGTTTGCTTCCAGTTTTGTCAGGAGCAGCCCTGTCATTTGAACTCTCAAAAGGCTGGAGGAACACCTGGGGGCTCCACCTGCAGGATCACACACACACACACACACACCCCAAAATGGGGCCGGGTGGCAGCAATGGGACTCTGGTATTATTCAAACAAGATTTCTTGCCCCTCTGGGAGTAGATGGGCAATTTTTCCTCCCCCACCCTGCTAGCGGGTGGCAACGTCCTGGCTGCCCCTTGTCTTGGAAGGAGGTCTCTCTGTTTGATGCCCCCTCGGCCGCAAGGACCCCCTCCCCATTTTAAGTGCCTTCCTGGGAAGACCTGGATGCTCCTGGACACCCTGGCCATGTGTGTGTGTGTGTGTGTGTGTGTATGCATGTGCTCTTAACGTGGGATGGTGGCGGTGGTGGCAAGGCCCTTTCCAGTGTGGGAGACCTGCAGCCTGTAGTGCTGAAGTCACTTCATAGAGGCTGGCACCATCCTTCTGTCTCGAGAGACTATGGTAACATGCTCTGTATCGAGAAGTGTCCTCTCCAGAGCATGAAGCCCGGGTAA